GCTTAAATAATATTTTAAAAATTAATTATTACATTAACTAATCAATTGATTTTTAACCATACTACATCTATTAATATTTGGTACTACTTTAATTCATTGTATGTTTGTGAATTATTTTTAAATTTTGTTAGATAATATTCCTTTACTTATAAACCTCATTTTTGATGTATAATCAACTGTTATTAGATCAGAATCTAACTATAGTTTAACTATATTGGTATTAAAATTTTGCAAAAAATACTTTATTACTACAATAGACAGAATTTTGAATTGTAAATAGCTTTAAAATTGTTAATTTTTTGTGTTTTATATAATTATAAAATTGTTTTTTTTGGTAATTAAAATTTTTTATTTGATTATATCAGAACAGTTGTTTAATCAAAGGATTTTTTTTAAAATAATTTAAATATCATCTAATACAATCTTCCATTACAAATCTGAAGAATAACTCTTATCTTTAATATTTCGTAAAAAATAGATTAATAAGATATTCTATTGAATAGGTAGACAGTAGCTTTACTAATAATTATTAATCATTAATTTTTAATAGCAGTGTTGCAGAGTTTGCAAAGTTTGTTCATCTATTCTTTATAACATCCAATTAATGAAATAACTTTTAATAAACATAAGATTAAAAAAAAACATATTTGTATATCTTATATTTGCAGAAATTTTTCAAATTCCTCAAGGTTATACAAAAATTGTTAATGGTTGATATCACATGTCAAAAATTTTTAAATATGCATTTCTTGTTGAATTTGAATAATTTTACTTTGTTAGAATCAGAAAAATCTATTATACAATATTTACAGGTTCTAAACACAATCATTTTACCAAATGCTTATTTAGCCAACATTATATAGGGTTAGGCTAAGTATTTAATTATTTACAGATATATATTTTTATTAAATTTTACTTGGTGTAATGTTGACTAAATGAGCTATCAGTCAGTGAAATAATATAAATCCAATATTTACTTATAAATTTTTTTTTTTATTTATAAAATGCCATAGTTAAAACTTTATTAACAAGTAAAGTAGTTCTACATTTAAAGATTTTAAACTACATTTATGTTACTGAAATTAGACACCCAATGTGACATTATATTTCCTATTTTCTAAAATTACTAAAACTAAGTATTCTAAATAATTAACTAGTTAGGATAAGTTGAAAAAGATTTAAGGTATATATTATGGAATTAGATTATACAATTAGTAAGAAAAAATCTTTATGAAAACTATTTTCTATAAATAAAGTAGAATCTATTTTAAAAAATTTGTTGAAGTAGATATTGATACTTGAAATAGTCTAGCAAAGAAGAATTTTTTCTGTTTAGTTTTAAAGGTTATATTACAAATTTGTTCTTATTCATGTTGAAGATATTTCTTGCAAACCATATTTTATTATGGAACCTATTTATAAGGTTATTGGAGAGATTAATAAGAAAGGATTTAGTTAATATTTTAGTAAGTTTAATTTGGTAATAATATGAATAATAACACAATTTTTATTTTATAATATTTTAATAGGATAAGTTTGTTTTAGGTTTGGATAGCTGTAATATTATCTAAATAAATATTTATATGAGAGTTAAATAGAATGGTTAAAAGTAATAAAATGATTGCTTCAAGTTCTACTCAAGTTGAGTCTGAATAGGAGATCGTAGCTGCATTAAACTTAATAGCTATGTTGTTTTCACAAATCTAACCAATACCAGATTTGATATTTGCTAAATGCAGATTTTAAATTGAGACATCAGTAAAAAACTGTAATTCTTGAGAGTTTAAATTTTGAATTGATTAAAGGTTTGTTAGTTGATATTGGTAGGCAGTTGTGTTTGTTGTATTATATATTAATTAAGTTTCTAGTAGCAAAATATTAATTTGAAGTAGTAGTTTGATGAAAGTTCATTTAGAGTTACAAAGGCTGAATAATAGTAAAATCACACAAGAAAAATTTTTACTTAGAGTACAGAAGGTGGTTAATTAGATTAAATTCTGAGATATTCTTGATTTCTTCAAAAAGAGCATTTGTTTTGATTTTTTTACATTACACCTGATCGTGACTTCTTATTGGCTAATTTTAACACTGAAAATTATGTAATTGGAAAATCAATTCTACGCCCTGGCATTGTTGTACACTCTACCTTTAAAATATCAAGATATTAAGAAAATTTAGCAATCAACAACAATACATTCATATGACACCACTGCAAAGTGTATTTCAAAATCCTTCTTAATATAATTATCTAAATTTGAAAATATAATTACAGCTACATAATTCAAAGTTTTTTTCATATACAGAATTTGACCAGTGATTTTGAATCTTTCTTGTCATCAATATAATGAATTAAAAGTTTTTTTAAAGGTGCATTACAATGATTGAGCAAAATGTTGGCATATTGATTTATCACACAATATTTTATATCAAGATATTGCAATGTCAACAGCAATATTTCTGCAAACTGTAAAACTAATGTTTTTAATTCTTTTTTTAGTATGTCCTCAATGCCCCATAATGTGAGAAATTAAAGTTTTGTAAATTACCAATAAGCTCCAGAAGTTGTGATAAAAATCTAATATTCGAAATATTAAGATATGTAATGTTTGGGCAGAAGGTCTCAAGTGCCTTTAATAATAAACATTTAACCTGAATTCCTTTATTTAATAATTCAATTTTTAGTCGTTATAGTAATACATCTGAATTTTCTAAAATTTGAACTATAATCGATGTTTTAAGTCGAATACCAGATATCTCCAAAGTACTGGTTTTATAATTTAATCTATAATTTAATATTTTCATCAATTTTGGTAGTCAAAATGCCTGAAATAAAGAGTTTCTAATTTTTTACAATCTTTCAGAAACTCAACTCTACACTATAAGGACAATTTTCTATTATAACTTCATGTAATGAGTTTTTTTGACTTCCAAAGTTGAAATGATGCCGTAGAATTCTGTGAGTTCTCCGCAACCAACTATGCAACGTTTACTAAGTTGCTCTTGTGATTTAATAATACGTGTAAGAGTCTGAATTAATTGTGGCTGACAATAATAATCATAACTTTTAAGTTTAAAAACTCTAATCTTCATAGTATATTTTGCAAAAATTTTTAATAATGTGATAGCACTTTCAATTTTAAATCTTTCTAATATATTATTCAAAAAGAAATCTTGAAGCTGTGAGTAAAATTGCTTATTTTGTTCTAATGCATCAAAGATTTCTGGATTAATTTCAAGTTCATTAGGAAAATATAAAACCAATCTATTCAAGGTGGCGCCACTTTTAATAAATAATTTAAATAATAAATTAATTATGAGATTTATCAAAGAATTATTAGATGATGGTGTCAAATTAACAAGTTCGAGACGAATCCATTTATAAACATGGCTATATAAATGAAGTAAATCAAAACCTTTAGAAATTTTGCATATTTAAATAGTGTTTTGGAAAATATTAAAGATATCCCAAATTCTTTTAAGGCGAATTTTTCATCTTCTTTAAGAGACGAAAAATATTTAAAATGAAGAATAGGTTTTGTTTGAACGAAAGTGGATCTTGCCAAAGAATAGGAATTGATATTTTGCACCAATGTCAGCTTACAAGTGCACAAGAATATAAGGAATCATATTCATTATTTAAATTATTAAGAATATTTTTCATTAATTCGGGCATATTGCCCATAAATATTTTGGATACTATTAACCTTGTGTTGTATTAAAGAGAGAAAGTATTTATGGTCCTTATTGATACAAAGTATTTATAATTTAGAATATTGTTATGCGTACGTACATAAGCTGTCACAACTTATGAACTATGATGGGAAAGTGGTGAATTATACTGTATTTATTAATTCATCAAAGTTAAAGTTACTTCAAATTACAAGAAGCAATCCTTATATATGCTATTACTATACTAAAGTAACTAAAATGACCTGATTACCAAGAATGAGATGAGAAAAACGATTATTACAAAAAATATGATAATGGGAATTCAATTACCGTAAATGAAGTAATGATTTTGATAACTACTACTGCACTATGTAATGATCTACATAAAATGAATATAATTAGACAGAGTTGAAGGAATATTTTTTTTTACAGACATGAATAACCTTTTTACATAAAGGTGGTGTAGAGTAACTTATGAAGTAATAGATGATGAAATTTGATGGTTTCCATTTTTTTTTCAGGAACCTGCAATTATTAACTGCACAAAAAAAAAGTCTCGCGTATGTAACTGTAAGCGTAGTAACGATAAGTCATATGCAAACTTACAAATCTTTTTGACTGATATCTAAAAATTTCTTTTTTTTTATTGGATTTATTATCAGCTGAAATGAGTTGATCAATTCCAAATTTACTTTAAACTAGAACTTGCGCATGTAGCGACTTCGTCGTCAAGGTTTAATGTATTTACTGAAAGATAAGAAATTTATATAGAAATCAATATTATATTATCAGTATAGAAATTATTGCCTTAATTTTTTTGTTTAAGTATAAAATTATCTTACTTCCTTTGGTTTATCGTATAAGCTACCCAGGATAGCATTAATCATACTTTTCTTGATAAATCGCAAAATTGTACGCCTTTATTAGAATTGCCTCCAAGGTAATTGATTTTCCACAGTTAACGAAGTTTACATTCTTTATTTGCTCGATTTTCAGTTGTCGAGATTGCACAAAGTCTTCTTTTGCTTTGTTACGAAAGAGATTGAGGTTTATTGTATATGCTTCTATTCAGAACATTTTATCCACTACAAACTGATTAGATCATTGTGAATAAAATAACTTACAGTATAAATTGTTTTTTTTTGCGAGTAGTCTTTCATAATAACGATGATGACATTTTAACAGAAATGTTAAAATAAATTATATAAATTAATTTTAAATTTATTTACAATTTATATCTTTATAGTGTTTAGGGTGATTCTCCAAGGAAAATTGCTATAGCCATTAATAACCACTCAAGATTCACCTTAGAAAATCCTACACTATATCTTATGTCTGAAGGTAATATTCATTCAGCACCTTGTACGATTAATAGTAATGAAGGCTTGGTTTGGGGTGCTGCAGCTGCTGGAAGAAGTAACGGAACAAGTGGTGTATTGGTATATAAAATTAAAGAACAAAAAAAGTCGTTAGATTATCTGTGGAACGTTCCTTACGAACGAAAAAACTCTCTGAATTCTTGGAGCTGCGAATTTATGCTGGTTATAGAGATGCATCTAATGGTAATAATCTTTATGTTTCTTTTTATATTATTAATCTAGAGTTATATGCGGATATGATCAAGAACTGCCATCCCGGAAACAATAAAACTTACGAAAATTATTTCTTGAATTAATTAACTGGAGATATTGTGGCTCAATGGAAAGCAGCGAAAATACATTGGCTAGTGTTTCTATTTACTTTGATGAAGTTTTGCCAAATTGTTAATTTCTTTATATCATTCTTTTTTTTTTGTTTTTTTTTTCAATTATTTTTTTTTGATTGCTTTGATTTATCTGATGATTTGCTGCTTTTATTTTTCTGATCATCTATTAAATCATTATTAGTATATATAATCATTTGCTGCCCCTCTTTTTTCTGATCATTTATAAAATCGTTAGAATTATATTTCCCTCTTTTTTGTATCCTTTCGTTATATAATTTTGTTCATAAAAAATAAATTAAAATTTTGTTGTCAATGAACAAATGAAATATCTATTAATTATCATTCTCTTATATGTTTTGTGACGATACATTTATGTTAAATTGGCAGAAAGTTAGTGTAGAATTTTATTCGAAAAAAAGAATAACATATTTTATTGTAAATGAACAAACGAATTAATTATAGATAGAACGTCCGATTATACAATGTAAATATGAAACTAATAGTACCGAAGAAAACCAAGTATTTCTCGAAAATGGTTATAATTTAAATTTGCTTTTTTTATTTTGTTAAGATAACTATGTAGAAAAAGGCTTTGTACATTTCTCCCGCAAACCATCGATGGCGTGAACTCGTACAAAGTTTCGCTTTTGAACACATGATTATTGAATAGATAGTTTCTTCTCGTTATATATATATATATATTCGTTTTATGGCTATGGTAAATGTCTTAGTTTTTATATGATTTTAACATTATTTGTCTTTTTGCTTTTATAATATTTACACTTTTCGATATTGTGATTCTATAATCAATTGTTATATTCTTTTTGGGTCGCAAATTTAACAATGTTTTAACAACAAATAAAGCCTTGACTAAGTAATGGGGTAGCAAGTCTTATAAAGTTAGTAAACGGTAATAATGACCGAAATAGTGTTTTGAACCGTTCAACCGAAAGTTCAACCGGGGCTGATCCGGGTAGACTTACGGGTATTCCCAGCCAATCGC